GTATTCAGAGTGACTTTAGGCAAGTTAGTTCATGAAATAAGAGTAATTATTTTTAAAAAAATAATTCTGAAGTTTATTGGAGATACCAAAGCACTTTGGACAGAGCTTGGCACAGTAAGAAGACGACTGTTCCCTCTCTTCACTCTTCTATGCCTTGTCCTCTCTCATCTTGCATCTCTGAGTTCAGCCTAAAACCCATGAAAATGGAACAAAACAGCCCTGGGGTTGCGGTTGGGAGGAAGCTTCTCATGTGACATTGATGGAGGGTTACCCTAAGAGCTGGAAAATAAATGCTGTTCTTTAATTTCCACAATCAGGAGTTGCAAAGATATAGTATGTTAAGAAATAACTGGAAATATGCTAAGTGCAGTGGCTAAGGCCTATAATCCCTACACTTTGGGAGGCTATGAGGTAGGAGGATCCCTTGAGCTCAGGAGTTCAAGACCAGACTGGGCTACATAGTAAGAACTCATCTCATCTATCTGTCTGTCTGTCTGTCTATCTACCTATAAAATAAGAACTAGAAATAAAGTGAAGACATATCTATGTACATGCGGTTTTCAAAAACGATGGGCAAGACATTGGGCAAAAGAAGGTCAATTTTAAGGAGAAATAATACGTCTTTAGATGCACAGGAACTTGGTTGTGTTCAGGAAAACCTGAACTTCAATCTAGTTTCATCCCTAAACAGTATCAAGGTTTATGACATTGACAATTTCAGGACTGGACAGAGTCCATAAAGAAGAAGCAAGGAGAAAGAGAGGTAAAGAATAACATAGAGAAATCCAGAACAAACTGAAATGGAAGCTGGGGATAACTTCAAGATTTTCTGTTTAGGAATTTATGATACCATTAGCCCATCCAAAGACCTTTAAAATTCTTTATGACCTTGAGGCATCCAACTAGTTAAATCAGAATCTCTGAGGTGGAATCTCTTTACTCTTTATAGCAACCCAGGAATTTTTATGCATACAGTTGAGAATGACTGCTATAGTCAAAATAAGTAAGGTAGGATATTGAGATAATGGAGAAAGAGGATGAGTATAATTCTAACTGAGTTCAAGTTTCAACAAGGCATCCAGGAGGAAATTAAGGTCTGGATCTCAGAAAGGACAGAGCAACTTAAGATTTTTGAAGAGTAATTCATTAATATGTTAAATAAACATCCCTTATGCTGGGCACAGTGGCTCATGCCTGTAATCCCAGCACTTTGGGAGGCTAAGGCAGGAGAACCACTTGAGATCAGGAGTTCAAGAGCAGCCTGGCCAACATGGTGAAATACTGTCTCTAATAAAAATAAAAAAATTAGCCAGACATGGTGGCCTGTGCCTGTAATCCCAGGTACTTGGGAGACTAAGGCAGGAGAATTGCTTGAACCTGGGAGGCAAAGGTTGCAGTGAGCTGAGACTGCACTACTGCACTCCAGCCTGGGCAACAAAGTCAGACTCCGTCTCAAAAAAAAAAAAAAAAAATCACTTAAGGTCTGTTGAGTGTCAGGATACCAAGTCCTACAGATAGATCCTTTTCCTTTGTAGGGCCTACATCTAGGAGGCAGGGAACAGATTTCTAACCAAATCAGTGGTATAATGTGTTGTGGACTATAAGACAGAAATCTGTACTGGGACAGGAAAGAAGAGTTCGATTCTTTTGAGAGTTGTCAGAAAAGACTTCATAAAGAAGGGACAAGGAGAAGGTGGGATGAAAGAAATGCAGAAAGAGAAAAAGGCAGACCTCAGAAGTATGGAGAGACTTACTTAGGTCTAGCAGAATGGAGAGGAAAATGAAGCAAATGAAGATCATTGAGAATTAGTAGTCAGAGAGAAAGAGGGAGAGAGAAAAAGTAGGATAGAGAAGTGCCCTGAAAGGTAAAGCTGGCTAACAAGGAAGGGCCATCACATGGGTGATGCAGAGGGTCAAAGAGGATGAGGCTGCTTATTAAAGCTGAAGATCACATAGCTATGAAAGTTAGTTTTTATAGTGGGAGAGTTAGGGGAGAGAGTAGACAGTGTTTGGAACTAGACCCATGGAAAAAGAGAAGAGTATGAGAAGGCTAGAGAACACACAAGGGTTATAGGGAACACATTCAAATATTAAGGAACACAGGAGGTGCCTGTAATGGGCAGAGTTTTGGCTTCAAGGTTTTTGTGTTGCATTCTCCGAGTCTAGCTGAATGACCCCAGGCTAGTCACTTCCTTTCTCTGGGTGTCACTGTTTTCACCTATAATAGGAATAGAGACTGTATAATTTCTGAGGTCATGTTCTGCTCCGACAATCTAAACGTTTTAGTGGTTATAAAAAGAATCAAATGAGAAGACAAAAATCTCTTAGCTGCATGAAGCATGATGGTGGCTATCTTTGTCTTCTATACAGGTATACCTGCCAAGTTTGGTCACTTCATTCTACAGACACTGTCCCCTTAAACCCACTTCTTTCAAAATGTGAACTAGTGAAGGGCACAACCTACCATTTAGAGCTCTTTCCATGACATAGCACAGCTGTTCAAGTCACAGGTTCTAGAATTAGACAGTCCTTCCCTAGCAATGTGACTACTATGTAAAAAATTGTTTACTTTTTTTTTTTTTTTAATTGAGATGGAGTCTTACTCCATCGCCCAGGTTGGAGTGAAGTGGCACAATCTCAGCTCACTGCAGCCTCTACCTCCCGGGTTCAAATGATTCTCCTCCCCAGTAGCTGGGATTACAGTTGGCCACAAACACATCCAGCTAATTTTTGTATTATTACTAGAGACAAGGTTTCACCTTGTTGGCCAGGCTGATCTCAAACTTCTGACCTCAAGTGATCCACCTGCCTTGGCCTCCCAAAGTGCTGGGAGCTCTAGCACAGAAAATTTTCGCTCTTGAACAAATAGAGAAAAAAAGCAGGACTCTGTGGCAGCAGAGTATATGACTTCCCCTATTCCTGTATTCTTCAAGAGGTCTTGTACTGAATCAAGCAGATCCTTTAAAAAAGTAAGATACCAGGTTCAATAAACAGATTCACCTAGTGACAATAACATAGGCTTTAAAACTAGGCAGCCATGTCATGAGTCAAACTTAAGTCTTTTATAAGCTTGATCTTTCTGGATCTCAGATTATATATTTGAAAAATGAGGTTAATACTACCCATCTCCCAGGAATATGAAGATTAAGATAGATTTCTAGTTGCAGACACTTAACCCATTTTAAATAAATAAATGTTTACTAAGTGTTCATGGAATTGAAATTGTGATAAGATTTTACTGCTGGTGCCATTTTACCCTTGTGAGATTCTGCTCCTTCTCTGACCTTAACTTAGCTGTGAATTCTATTGTCCCTGCTGCTAGACTATACTAACATTAATCACATTGATTTTCACCCCCCGGAGAGAAGCGGGATCATGGAGAAAAGAACAGAGTACAAGAAGAGAAGGCTGCAACAACCACCACAACACCCTGGAGGGCACAGAAAGAGAGAAAAACTTCTGCCAGGCATTGCTAAGATGGAACACAGGTAGTACTCATCAACCTTGGTTCTGTTCACCCAAGCATCAAGTCCAGAAGACTCTCCTTGCTACTGCTTCTCCTCTTCTCAGTGCCTGAGTCCTGTAACGTAAGGAAATCAGACACAGGAAGAAGGAGAAGGGAGACGGGAGGAAGGAGGAAGGAGGAGGGAGGAGGGAAGAGGGAGGAGGGAGGAGAAGAAAACCCACATAAAAGTATGTAAAAAATTGATCTCTCTGGATGCTTGGTTCCTTCCTAGTTCTCACTGTCTGGTGGAAGGCCACTGACACCAACATTGGCCTAAGCTAAAATTGGCTTTTTCAGAGATCGTAGGTTGATTGTAGGTTGCAGAAAAGACAAAGTATTTTGCTAGAGGCTGTAGCATCAAATACAGATTAGCTTGGTGATGTCACAAAAGAGATGTGTCAGCAGAGGCTGCAGTGATGACTAAGGAAGTTGATAAACAGCACTATTTGAAATAGCTACTTGCCCTGAATAGGCAGGGGGAGAATATTAGTTACAGGTGGGACAAATCCCATTATGAGAAATATCATCACAACAAGAATATTTCATTCTAGATTTTAGAATCTCAGGTTTTGGCTCACTTCAGTCAAGAAAAGTTATAAATAATTGAGTTCGAGATAAATAATTAAATGTTAGTGCCTTGGAGTGCATGGCAATTGGTTTTGACCTCTATTTTAAAATTCACAAGACCACGGAAGTAAGTCAAACAAACCAGGTCCCCTTCGTCTCCATAGTCACCATCGCCAGGGCTAAAAACAGACTTGAAATGGGTGCCAGTTAGACTACAGGAAACAGGATCTACACACTATCTGACATCGCCTGGGGATACCTCACTCTCTGGCAGGCTTCTGCTGGCTGGAGATTGCTAACATCGCTAATCCGATATTAACTGAATGCAAAGGAATAGGAAATAAATTCTGGTTCTGAAAGTGCAGCTGGAAAGGTGTTAGGCTTCTCCAACTGGGACCTACATTCCAAAGCAGGTCTAAAGCCATGCATACTCCTTGCCAGAGGAAAAGGAAAGCCCCTCTCCCATTTTTAGAATCACGCTGGAGGTGGGGTTAGAAACCAAGAGCTTGCCTGGCGGCGCCCTGTGGTCCCTGGAGGAAACAGGAGAAAGACAGAGAGGGCTTGCTCCTGAGCAGCTCCAAATTCGAAGCCTATCATTCCTCCTAGACAACACCTACAGCTTTAAAGGGCAGGGCGCACACCTCCCTGCCCAGATCTCTAGGGCGGAGCAGGTCAAGGGTAAATATTTCTAGTTATTAAATTTATTCAATGGTTAACTATTAATTTTGTGGGTACCAGATACCAACCTAATCGGTTTACGTTCAAGAATCAGTTTAATGCCCACAATTCCCAGATTTGTGTTATTAACCTTCTATTATCTTTGGTTTACAAACGGGAACCAAAGAGGTGCACAGAGGAGTGGCACTCTGCCCAGCCAGCGACGGGATCAGAGCCTGGGTCTCTAATTCCCAGGTTGGAGATCCCAGGCTGCCTGGCTCCTCTTTTGCGCGGCGAAAAGCCCACTTGGGATCCGAGCGGGCGGCCACGTCACACTCGCAGGCTCCGCACGCCCGCCGCTGCCCGCCTATACCACCTGCAGCTGGCAGCGCCGCCTCCTCGCGGGTCCCTCAGGGCGCGCTACAGGTGCGCAGGGCGTCCCGAAGCCCCGCCCTCGCGTCCCTGCCCCTCGCTCGGCGCCCGCGCCTAACGCTCGGCGCCTCACCCCCAGTTCCCGCGCCCCGCAACGGCGGCGCAGGACGCACGGCCTCAGCCTGAGCCCGGGAAGCGCTCGGGCGAAGAGGAGGAGCCAAGGGTACCCAGAGGGTGGAGCCGGGAGCCGGAGAGCTGTGGAGGCGGATTTCCTGGACCGGGCCTCCTGGCGATACCATGGCGTTTGGCAAGAGTCACCGGGATCCCTACGCGACCTCAGTGGGCCACCTCATAGGTAAGGAGGCGCGGGGAGAGACGCCCAGGCAGGCAGGGGACCGTGGGATCCTTTTCTGCTTGATCCATTCTCAGCCTGCAGAGGACCGAGTTAGTCCAACTTAGAGAAAATTCTTCCCCTCCCCCGCAACTTTCCCAGGGCACCCGCATTCCAGCCCGGCCCCCTTTCGTCGTTTCCTTCTTGGCCAACTCACTCTAGCACCTCAGTCCTCAAAAATGTACCTTCCTTTCGATGCCTCCTGGGGAGCGGAACCAAACAGGTGAACCCCGGGAGTCAGGCATGGAGTGTTAGGGCCTCCATAAGGAGACACCAGAAACTTCTCGGCCTGGCGAAAGTTTTTCCTAAAGGCACACTCTTCAGGGCACGGTATTGTTATGCCCCTTTTACAGATCAGAAGAGGAGGCTCTCGGAGACTAAGTGACGTGACCTTACTGTGAGGAGCAGGTATCCCCAGACCAGTTTTCTCTAGCGCCAAGTGTATACAACCTGGCTGTCTTTTCTGGGCAGAGACAATGATACTTGGCATTGGAGTGAAGAGGAGGGGAACAAAGGAGCCATCTAGGGCCATGGAGGTGTCTAGCAGGCCACTAGGGACTACACCGGCATCCACCTAAATGATTTATCTCTCCTCTGGATGTACCGTGCATGATGTATGTAGAAGCCAATGATTAGACTCTTACCAGCACCAGCTCACTGCTCCCTCTTTTCCCTGATTCCTTCCTTGGGAATTGGGTGAGGCATGATTGCATATTAATGCCAGGCAAAGTGGGATGATGAAATCGTGAGAACCTAGTAGTTGTAGTATAGAGGCCCAGATTTGGAAAATTTAGGTCACAGCTCAACTAACTGCCTTGACACTGAGCACACCGCTTAAATATAACCTTAGTTTACACATTTTTTTTTTTTGAGACGTAGTGTCTCACTGCCTGGGCTAAAGTGCAGTGGCCAGATCTCAACTCACTGCAACCTCTGCTTCCCAGGTTCAAGCAATTCTCCCGCCTCAGCCTCCGGAGTAGCTGGTATTACAGGCGCCTGCCACCATGCCCGGCTACTTTTTGTGTTTTTAGTAGAGACAGGTTTCACTATGTTGGCCTGGCTAGTCTCGAACTCCTGACCTTGTGATCCGCCCACTTAGGCCTCCCAAAGTGCTGGGATTACAGGCATGAGCCACCGCATCCGGCCAGTTTACACATCTTTATAAGATGGTCACAGTAGCTACCATTGAGGAGATGCTTTCCCTTAATGGCTGTACTTCGTTTGATATTAGAATGAACCCTGAGCAGAAATGGGTTCAGACCCATCATAGGCAGAAGAAATTTCGGCAGTTCATCTACTTAATTTTTTAATTCCGTAAACATGGGCTATGTGCCTGGACTTGGATCACACGCTGGTGAGGCCAAGGTAAGAGGTGGTCTCAAACCTGAGGGAACTCACTTTCTTGTAGGGAATATGGGCACAGTTTTGTGCTGCACCTTTGCAATGCAAGAAAATGCAAAACACACAAAACTTACAAAAAGGGGGAAATGAATTCTGCTGTGGCTTTTGAAGGGTGAATGGGAGTTTTCTAGAAAGATAAGAAGATTGGGAGGAAGAGCGAGGAATGAAGAGGAAATGTCTGGCAGACTGAACAACAGATACTTAACAGCACAAGATTGGTCAGCTTTGTTTATTTGGAGCCAAATTCAAGTGGTTCTTTTCCTTGGTTGAAAGCAAGCTAAGCTTTGGGGTTCCCCCAGACAAGTCCTTTCTCTTTTTTCCCCCTTCTCTAGCCTTTTTGTTTTTTCTCCATTTCCCCCAGAACCCTGTGTTTTCATGCTTAGGGATCTTGTCCTTTCTCTTAGGAAGATAGTAGCACATTCATAGCAAGTGTTCCGTTACTCTTTCCAGATAACATCTTGTATTCTTAAAGGGGCTGTCTGGAGAGGGAAAGATGCCATATTATCTAATGATAGGGTTCCAAATGCAGAAGCATTCTGGTCAGCCTGGTCCAGCTGTGGTTAGTGTAGATGCTTATTATTATTAGTCCAGATAGTTATTCAGTGCCAGTTTGAAATAATTAAGACTGATAGTAAAAGTGTGTGTGATGGAGGTTTTTACGTAGTTAAGCAGTGTCTTTGCAAGTATTGGTTGAAGTTATAATGACTGGTAAAATTAGAAGAAATCGTGAGATTAAGATGATAGGAGAATAAATGTATTACTTTTATTTGGAGTTGTGCCAATGTTTTGGCTCCTAAGACCATTGCATTACTTCTCTCCTTTAAAAGTTCTTTCCTCCTGTCCCCAGAGAATAAATTATTTTTTAAAAAAACAAACAGTGGGATCAAACAACCTAGATTTGAATGCCAGTTCTACTTTATACTGTCTGTATAACTTCGGTAATTTCCTAACCTCTCTGAACTTCTATCTCATCATCTCTAACAGTAGGTTAAATGAGATGGCATACGATAAAATTCTTAGCACTATGCAGTTCACCTTGTAGGTAGCTGCTCACTAAGCCTTAGTTCCCTTCTCTGAAAGCCAGGCAGTCAGAGATTTAGCTGGCCTGTTCTGGGCCTGTGGCCAGGTGTTATGCTTGCAGTCTTTATTAATAGGTCACTCATTGTTGCTGCAGCAGCGCTCTGAACTTGGGTTCTGATTGATTCCTGAATTTCTGAGAGCTGTTCTGAAAAAGATCACGTTGCCCTTTGGCAATATAAACTTAATGGCCCTTGCTAGTGCAGCCTAGGCAGATTATTTCAAGAATACCAGACATTTTTTATTCTGTTGTAGCTCAGACTCAACAGCTTTTTCTTGGCAGAAAAGGCTACATTTGCTGGAGTTCAGACTGAAGATTGGGGCCAGTTCATGAACATCTGTGACATAATTAACACCACGCAGGATGGGTGAGTACAGCCTATTTTCCATGTGTTTGCCTCTGACAAGAAGCATCAGAACTACAGCACGTTTTCTCTTGCAAATGTTTCAGTTTTCTTGTTGCAAGAGTGTTTTCATCATCCATTAGGCACCCTCTACCTTTTGAAGACTTGTCAGGTTGAAATATTGGGGCAGCTGCTTGCTTCAACATGTGGAGCGAGTATCCATAAATCCACTATAATTTTTCTCCTCTTGGCAGTTTCTTAAATAGTTTCAAATTTTGTCAGTGTGAAACTCAAATTCCTTCTGTTTAAAAGATTGAAAAAAAGAGACTGTTTCATTCTTTAGGAATATCTCCAGCTTCCATTGTTAGTATTTGATGAAACTGTCAAATATTATCAAGAAGCTGGTTGACTCCTGGTAGTAAACTATTTTTGGGCAGTTGTCTTTAGTAACCAGGAAACAATCTCACAGTCTTTTTTCCTCCCTGTCACAGGACAGTTTTTTTTCCTTCTAAATGTCAACTCAACCATGTTTAAGCTATGTTCTTGTAGCATATGCTATCTTTTGTTCTACTTCTTAAACTTTAGGGAATTGAAGTTATAAGAAAAAAGTCATAAGAGCAAACTGGTTTGCGTTTAGTCAATTACAAGGTATTATAAGGAATACAATTCTGGTAATTTTCCAGTGCATATTAAAATGATAATTGACAGTAAAAGATTTAGTCTAGCTTATGTTGATAAAGAAAACATCAAACTTAATTATTGATTATAAATAAATGAAAAGTGTTTATGGTTAGCATTTTAAGTGTTTATAGTTTTTTCCCTATAATCCAATTTACCATGTTTACCAATTCATTGATGATACAAAAAGAGAATCTTAAAATACATTTGGACCCTTCTAAACAGTTCTTTCTTTATAACATAAAATTGTGGCGTATTGGCAGCTGACCTAGTTTGTTGTAATTCCTCTTACATCCCCTTGTCTATGAGGTGCTCAGGAAATACTAATCGTTTTAATGAAAATGGTAGCTTTCATTGTTTCAGAAGTTGCATTTCCTATAAATTGGTTCTGTGCATTGATAGAGGGATACAGGAATGAGCACATCTCATGAGTAGTACTTTATAAATGATAGTCTTGTACAAAAATATTTTATTTAATTTTCATATGGGGGTTGGTGGTATTGTCTGCCTGTATGCATGAAGAAATTTAGTTTCGAGAAGTTAAGTCATTGGATTAGGGTCCCACGGTAGAACCAAGGCATTGGTTTTCTGCTCCTTAGCCATTCCTCTCTCCAAATGCATGTTGCTTTTTAGAGAGACTTCTTGTTTTCAGCAATGCCTAAATTGGTGATTTCAGTGTATTTGTTGCCATAGGCCAAAAGATGCAGTGAAAGCTTTGAAGAAAAGGATTTCCAAAAACTACAATCATAAAGAAATTCAACTTACCTTGTCAGTAAGTACTTTAATTTTATAATTAAAACTCTAGGATTTCTCAAGAAGTAGTTACATTTTTAATCTGGGTGAAAAATAAGAAAAGCAAGTATTCTGAGAAAACTAATAGGTTAGCTAAGAGTTGTTTACAGTATGAGTTAAAACTTTTAATTTATGAGAATTGCAGAACAAAGAAAGTTTAGTTGTTTATAATAGCATTTAATTTCATAAAAACAGCTGGTTCCTGAAAATAAATTTTTCTTGGTCAGAAGATAGGAAATTTGTGGTTAACATATATTATGCATGGTGAACTGATCAAGAAGTTTGTGTATTGGCTGGGTGTGATGGCTCATGCCTATAATCCCAGCACTTTGGGAGGTGGGAGGCTTGCTTGAGCCCAGGAGTTTGAGAACAGCCTGGGTAAGATGGTGAGACCCCATCTCTACAAAATATTTAAAAATTAGTCAGGTATGGTGGCCTGCATCTGTATTGCCAGCCACTTAGGAGGCTGAGGCAGGACAATCACTTGAGCCCAGGAATTCAAGATGGCAATTAACTATGATCATGCCACTGCAAGTCAGCCTGAGTGACAAAGAGAAACCTCAACTCTTAAAAAAAATGTTTATGGCTGGGCATGGTGGCTCACACTTGTAATCCCAGCATTTTGGGAGGCTAAGGCAGGTGGATTGCCTGAGGTCAGGAGTTCAAGACCAGCCTGACCACAGACTGCCTTTATTAAAAATACAAAAATTAGCTGGGTGTGGTGGCATGCCTATAGTCCCAGCTACTCAGGAGGCTGAGACAGAAGACTTGCTTGAACCTGGGATACTGAGGTTGCACATTGCACTCCAGCCTGAGCAACAGAGCAAGACTCCCTCTCAAAAAAAAAAAAAAAGTTTGTGCATGTATTAATTAACCATAGGTGAAGATGAGGAGAATTGAAATACTAAAAATACCTCCCTGTTAGCCTTCTACCTCACTTGAACAGCTTTGTGGAATCCTGAGATGCTCTCAACTCATTAAATCCCAACCAACTTCTGCTGTGTGGCATGATTTGGAGAATGTTCTATGTTGGTTTAAGCAATTATCCTGTGTGTTGTATTGTCTGTGATTTAAGTGTGGACTCTTATTTGATGTGTTCCCATTTTCCCACCATCCTTGGCCATATGACCTCTTCAGTCACACTGGTGAGTTGTCCTTTTTACTTTAGTATGTGTTGCAAGCCCTGCCTGCTGCCTGAGAGTGAGCTGTGTGGCTTTTTGATTTCTTCTGCATGCCTTTGTTTATCTCAGCCCAGCCCAAGATTGTGCATGGTCACGCACTAATTAGCCAGCATCCCACTGCCTTAGGTGCTTTAGAGTCTTTATCAAAAGGACTTTGGGGCATATGTGAGCATAGTTCCTGGTTTCTAGTTACATGCAGAAGAAAATGCACATCTTGCATAGGCTCACTGAATGAGCAGAAATACAATGAACGGTCTTCATGATTTGAGCATTAAAGAAACCCTTCACGTTGGGATCTGAATATAGTATTAGAGGCATTTTCCTCCTTCACCTTTTTTTGACCTCTCACTTGTCCTTAACTCTTGAAGGTCACAGAATGGAGGAGACTGTGGAGAGAGGAGTGCCACACTTCTGTAGAAATCCCAGAGCAATGGGTCACTGATAGAAATGCCTGGTACCTAACCGATGATCTCCACAACCCTGTGAAGTAGTTCTATTATTAACACCATTTCACAGATGAAGAAATTGAGACTAAGAGAAACTGATTTATCTCCAAGATGAAAATGGCTATTACCTAGCATAGGCAAGATTTGATCCCAGTCCTCTGATTCTAAATTCCATGCCCTTGCCTCATACCACTTTGTTTCTTAGAACGAGCAGTCTACTGTGTTTCCTTTGTGTCTTTAGTTTCTTCCTGTGTAGTACAGGGCCAGCTATAGCAGGTGTTGACTGGGTTAATGGACCCCACCCCCATACACACACCTAAACAGAAGACTCAAGGGTTAATGGAATGTACTGTAGAACCAGAGTAGAGAGATGGGTAGATGTGCCCTCATCTAGCATATCTCAAGGATCCCAAAGGTTAGGAGATTTAGTAAGGAAGGATAGAAGATGAATTTATGCCCCCTTCTCTATTTCAGCATGGGGTATTACTATTTTGCTTTTTATAGGTATTCACCATTCATAACAGTTTGCCGCTTTCTCTATTTTGCCCAGCCTGCTTGATGTTTCTGTGGTTGCTTCTTAATCCTACCTCCATATCTTCTTCCATCATGGTTCCTTCCCTGTCACAATGGACCAGGGACCCTCCTTGGGGAAGGTGGGTTATTCCAGAGTGTTGTGCCTCTGGCCTTGTTTCTCTTTGGGCTTCCGCTCTTGCTCTTCCTTCTCATCACGTAGTCTAATCTCTCAAGCCTGATTACCAACTAGCTTCCTGTTCCCATTATCTGTTCCACGTCAGATCTTTAGCTCCCTTACTTCATGGTTTCTGTCCAGTGTTTGAGAACAAGAGAGTCTAAAGCTTGTGCCTAAGAACAGGCAAGAGTCACAAGTCAGAGGTCAGAAAACACCTTCATCCTTGGGATCACAGTGCATTGAATTTGGGAAAAACGCTTGGCTTTTCCTTTAAATAGGATTTTCTTTAAATAGGCCTTTGACTCTTCATATCTTCATACTGACTTCCCCAAGTTGTATATTTAATGACCCAGTCACCTCACCTCAGACTACTCACTGCATTATAGAGGTGTGCTTAAAGCCTCAGGACTGACTTTAATAGTCACGTAAGCCAAATTTAATTATGAGGGAAATTAGTCACAGAAGGAGTTGCCTATGTCTGTCGAAAGCAATTATAAGTTTATCATTAAACTCTCTAAAAAGTAATCCTCATATATGACATTTCTGTTTTATTAATGTAAAGTGATGAGAGCCTGTCAAATTCAATTATAACTATTCTTTATGGTATCTCTCATGTTGAGTTCTCCATGGATATGTTAGCCTTGATTAGGCCTTTGATGGAATCTGACTGTATTATGATTTCCTACCATCAGTCAGTAGAGCAGTTTTGTTTTGTGTTTCAGCAGAATTTTGTTCCAGGCTTTATTACTCTGAGCCAAAGAGTATTCTGTTTTTGAATGAGTCAATTGTGATAAATCTCAGCAAGAGGCTACTATTATTGTCAAATGGAAAGTGATTGAGCAGGTTCCTGAGGATCAATTAGTTAATAGGCCTCTGTGGAGCACTCCCTAAGCAGTGAACTTCAGGGGTTTTATCAGATGTGTAAAATGTGGATAAAAATAATGAAGAAAAAGCTTAGTTTATTCTCCTTTGGCAAATTTACCAATGAAACAAAATATCAGGCCGGGCGCATTGACTTATGCCTGTAATCCTAGCACTTTGGGAGGCTGAGGCGGGTGGATCACTTGAGGTCAGGCATTTGAGACCAGTCTGGGCAACATATGAAACCCCGTTTCTACTGAAAATAGAAAAATTAGCCAGGCATGGCGGCAGGCTCCTGTAATCCCAGATACTCAGGAGGCTGAGGCAGGAAAATTGCTTGAACCCGGAAGGAGGAGGTTGCAGTAAGCCTAGCTTGTGCCACTGCACTCCATCCTGGGTGTAGGCACTATTCACGGCCCAGAAACCTGGTTGTCGTTGCTCTGCCTGGGTGGTTTGGAAATTTACAGTAAGAAAACTGTCAACTACCTCTTTTTCTTCCAGCCCTTTTCTGAAAACGCTTACATCAGTTAATCATCAAATTCACTCCTACTAGGAAATTCTCCATGGAAGATGATCTAAATAGTTGCCATGTATTGAGGTCCTGCTTTGTGGCAGGCTCTTTGTTATGTTTCATTTGGGCCTTACAACAAGTCTCTAGAGGGAGAGATTATGTCCATTTTGCAGACAAGGACACTGAGGCTTAGGATAAATTATTTGTCCAGCTAAGCCCAAGAGATCAGTGAAGCCTGGAGTCACCTACTTTAGTCTCTCTTGGTTCCTTGGGTCCTGGGTTTTCAGTCCCATCACAGGTTATGGATTCTTATTTGTCTTATTTCCAAAGATAGGTTATCTGAATACATTTGCACCAAAATCCAATTTCAGAATATGTGAAGACAACATATTTAATTTTTCCAATTTGCCACAGTAGGTTTTATTACTTATCTGAGTGAGTTGCAGGGTGAAAGAGGTCCTGGTGACATAATAGAGGAGATTATGTAGAAGTAATTAGTGCTGACATTCTTGATTCTAATGGGAAAACACAAAAGGCATGATTGCTGATCTCCAGATGTTCACATTTTCAGCATTTTATCGTGACTCTTTGATTTTGTGCATGTACCTCCTGGGAGTGTTACCCATTATCATAAAATCTTGTTGCACCAAAGATAAAAATTAGTTTGTGAGGGCCAGGCTTGGTGGCTCATGCCTGTAATCCCAGCACTTTAGGAGACTGGGGTGGGCAGATCACTTGAGGCTAGGAGTTCGAGACCAGCTTGGCCAACATGGCGAAACCCCATCTCTACTAAAAATACAAAAATTAGTTGGGCATCATGCTAGAGTGAGACCCTGTCTCAAAAAAAAAAATTGGTTTGCAAATTATTTAGCAAGAAATACACCTAAGGAGAGTGAGACTTGAAGGCTAGGTATTTGCCTAAGACTGCACAACTAGTTAGGTGAAGTATTTCTATAAACTCACACTGAGCTTGAGACACTTTTCCTTTCAGCATTTCACCCATTAAAAGTTCATTATAATCATCCATCAAGCTAAACAGCATGTTATTCAACTTTCTAACTCTGTCTCACCAACCTGTATTAATATGGATTCATCTTAATATGTTTTGGAGTTTGTTTTTATTTTCCTTTGCCTTCAAAGTTTTCCTTGTGCTCAGCTTCTCTATTTTCGGATTGCTTTCTTGGTCACATTGCCTTAAAACTATAGCTTTTATACCTGCTGCTCCTTTGTGTGTTGCCATTAAAGAGAGATTGAAAATACAAAGCATGGCATGAAATCCATTTTTAGGGCTTCTATTCTGCAAAGATGATTATCCTGGTCATGTTATGGTTTCTACGACCTTTCTAATTTCAGGTGATAGCATGGAAACTAGCAATTTAATTTTGCTTTTAGATTACTTTTAGAAATCTACTTTCTGCATGCAGTTCTTCGGTATCAGCTCATTCTTTCTTAGTCGTTTCTGTTCATGTTACTTTATTGAAAATGTGTTTTTTAAGGGAGGTGATGTTCCTCAGTTTGTATCCTTAACTGTGTAGCACCCTATCCTCCAGGAAACTTTTCTTTTGACTTAACCAAAGGAATGCCTTAAGTACTCCTGATTTTGTGCTTCATGTTCTGTCAGTTACTCTTTGATTGCCTTCCTTGGATTTGCTTTGGTCCATATAGTAGGTGAACCACCATGTTCCAGCCATTCCTCCTCTCTACTCAGTGTAGGCAGCCTTGATGACTTTTTACTCTCTTGAACTGTAGCTGGGTGTGTCCAGCTCACTGCTAAACAAACATCCACTTAAATGTCCCTTATCTTTTAAACTCGAAATATCTAAATTTCAACCCATCATTTTCACCCCTAGATCAGTCATACCACCCCCTCTTTCAAATTTCCATCACAGGGGTCCTCAATCTCATAGAATGAGAATCACTTAACTTTCAGTCATCTTTTTTGACAAGACTGTCATTCAAAGTTCTTTCTTCATAATTCTGTCATGACTTCTTTTCTTGTATCCACATCATCTTAGTTTAGGCCTCTTCTGTATTATGTCTGTACCAGTGGGTTGCTACTGGATCTTTTTATTATTTCAGGTTTCTTCTCCCTCCACTTACCTTTGCAGAGTGCTGCCTGACAACCTGTCCAGAATATTACTTTGCACACATTAAGCTTTTCCTCAAGTTCAGGTAAAAGATGTGATGGTGACAAACTAATAGAGACCCTCCATAACTTCTTATGCCTTCAACCTAATGTCCACACTCTTTGCACTGCCACACAAACTTCTCTACAGACTGGGTGGACTTTATCGACGCTATCTTTCCAGTGTCCCCAATTTACCTATATCAAGATACCTCTACTAGAGATAGACCGGAGTACTTATCTCCCTCTTCATAACCTACACACTTTCCCACATTTATATATTTTTCATACCATTACTCTGTCTAGACTATAGCTCTATACTCATTTTTACTGTTCTTAGCCATTTTGCAAAGCCCAGCTTCCAATCAGCCTTTTCCAAAAGTCTTATAAGAACACCTGTCCCTAAAAAATTACTCTTGTTTATAAGGGCCTATAGCCAGGGTGACTGTCTAATTTATCATCCAAACCAGGGCATTTTTGAAAGTCAAAGGGTGTGTCATCGTTAATAAACAGGACTTTGGGAATATACCTGTGCTACCCTGGGTAAACTGGGACAGATATTATCCCATGCATAGCTCATGTTCTGCCTGCACTTCTCTTCAGCATTTAGTATTCTGTATTGCTGTTAATGCCTTCTGGATGTGCTGGGATTCCTCAAAAAGTCTGTCCTCTAGACTTTTACATTATGCTCATACTTCCACATATCCCCAGAACCTAACATTTTTCATATATTTTAGTAGATACTAAATTATGTTTGTTAATTAGGATGCTGTTGGAAATCATTTAGCAGTTTTTCCCTTAACATTTTTAGGAAGTGGTTTTGCCAGATAAATATAATGTTTAATTTTTCTCTAATTTAGCTTATTGACATGTGCGTGCAGAACTGTGGTCCAAGTTTCCAGTCTCTGATTGTGAAGAAGGAATTTGTTAAAGAGAATTTAGTTAAGCTGCTGAATCCCAGATACAACTTGCCATTAGACATTCAGAATAGAATCTTGAATTTCATTAAGGTAAGTCTGTTGTATACCTCATGGGATAGAAAATTTCTAACTTTAGGGATTAAATGGCATACTTCCTGATTGTTTCATTTATCTTTTATAAGTCTAGGATTGAGCCAGAAAAGCATTTTTGCTATTTTACTGTCTATGTAATAATAATTTGTTGGCATTGAGTGGTGCCCTTTTTCTGAAGAATTTGTAGTCATTTCCCTACTTTCCTCTCAATTTCTCTTTTATCTATGTCAACTAGGAAAGACAGTGATGTGTATGTTCATTTTGCAGATAGTGAAACTGTTCCAGATAACTGACAAGTTCAAGGTTACTTGGAAAAGAGCTACTGATATTATTTTGGAATCTATTAATTTTGGATTCAGAGCAACAAAAAACAATTGATATTATATATCCCAGGGTTTCTTCAAGATTTTGAGGCATGGAAGTCTGATTTAAAATATTTATATTTTCCTAGCCTTTGAAAATGAGCATTTTGCCTGTGGCATTCAAAAATAGCTTTCTGTTTCTGAGTGAGGTACATAATTATTGATCTCTCATTTTCTATCAGGAGCTTAAAAATTATGCTTTGATTTTGTTCCTGTTTTAACTCTGGAACTTTTCATCTCTTAATTCAGACTTGGTCACAGGGTTTTCCAGGAGGTGTGGATGTAAGCGAAGTGAAAGAAGTATACCTTGACCTGCTTAAAAAAGGTGTTCAGTTTCCTCCCTCAGAAGTAGAGGCTGAAACAGCAAGACAGGAGGTAGGAGACCTTTCTTTGGCCCATGGAGAGTATAATAGCATATCACTTGGGTCTTTTCTCATTGCAGAAGACAACCCTAACTCTACCCAGCTTAAGCAAAAAGATGAATTTATTAGAATATTGCAGTATCTCATAGAATAACGGAAACTTGGGATTTTGTTAAAGTGTGATTTAGGGTATAATCCAAAAGCTTGTTTGACATGCTCCACCCTAGATAATAAGAACCTCCCTTTTTACAAGATTTCCAGGTGTTTTCTTTGTACATTAATGTTGAGAAGCACTGGCCTAGAACCTTGAGTTACCTCTCCACCTAAGGTTGGAGATGGGGCATTGACCCAGGGTGGGTTATTGTTGGAGAGGGAGATGCCTTGTCAGCTGTGGCTTAAAAAGACTTAACATGAATTGAGCTACCATTTGTTTTTAAGAACCCAAAGAGAAAGCATCAGTAATCTCACATGGCAGTTTATCATTTAGACCCTTGGTAAAAACCAAGGGCATTTTATTAAATTGTAAATGATAATCCTAATAGCAGCCACCTTTTGCTGAATACCTTCTTTATTATGGGCATCTCATTTGCTTAGCATGCTTCACAAAATGCTGACAGGTTGTGTAGTTGATTATTTATTCTGGGAACATAACCTGTACATAGGACTTTGAGAGTGCTTAAGTTAGCTGAATGGAAAAAACTTCGCATTGGGTGGCTATGTTAATTCACACAATAATATTACCATATTTCATACTCATAGACTGCTCAACTGTCATCAAATCCACCAACATCTGTCCCTACTGCACCAGCTCTTTCTTCTGTAATTGCTCCGAAGAACTCGACTATTACATTGGTCCCAGAACAGGTAACAACAGCCATCACCGTATATATTGACGTCTTTTCCTGATTTGTAAGCACCTTATATACAGTTTGTCTTTTCTGATTAACAGTGTTGAGATATAGGTACACTCATTTTACAGAGACTAAGGCTTAGTAATACTATTTGACTTATCACAGTTAAGTTCTGTCTGCTTCCAAAGCCCAACTTTGTAAGAGCTGTGCTTGCCTAGTGGCTTTCATAGCTTTGTGGAGCCTTGATTGTGGACTGCATCTAGTGCCCATCAGCCAATTCCTGTTACTTCTGGTAGGACTGTCATATTTCAGAGAGTTTAGTAAATGGTAGTCTTATTACTTGTATTTATTATGCCAACTGAATTCCATTTACTTCTTTGTGTATATCAGTTTATCCAAGGTGCAGATAAACAGTTATTATATGAAGCTCATTTCTGTCCTGCCTTAAAAGAACTATAATTAAAGACTTTGTATTATTATTTTTTTTTCTTATATAAAAATTCACATAATTCCTCTTAGAATATAATACAGGAAAAAAGAGTTTCTTTCTTCTTTCTTCTTTAGTACCATGAGAAATAGATACATTTAATTTGTTTTTCTTTTATCCTTTTGGTTGCCAAGAAATGCAGGATAACTTTTGCCGTTTTATCCAGGTTTCTGGTACCTTCTTTTGCTAGGTACCTAGTACTTCTCCCTTCTCCATATTGAGTTTTAATCCTTTTATTTTCCTTCATTTTTAAAATTCCTAAAGCATATCTTGGGATTTATTACAAGAGATCTCAAGTCCTTTTAAAAAGTGCTGACATAGGGCCAGGCGTGGTGGCTCACACTTTGGGAGGCCGAGGCAGGTGGATCACGAGGTCAAGAGATCCAGACCATCCTGGTCAACATGGTGAAAACCCCGTCTCTACTAAAAATGCAAAAAATTGCGGCCGGGCGCAGTGGCTCACGCCTGTAATCCCTGCACTTTGGGAGGCCGAGGCGGGTGGATCACAAGGTCAAGAGATGGAGACCATCCTGGTCAACATGGTGAAACCCTGCCTCTACTAAAAATACAAAAAATTAGCTGGGCATGGTGGCATGTGCCTGTAATCCCAGCTACTCAGGAGGCTGAGGCAGGAGAATTGCCTGACCCCAGGAGGCGGAGGTTGCGGTGAGCCAAGATCTTGCCATTGCACTCCAGCCTGGGTAACAAGAGCGGAACACCATCTCAAAAAAAAAGTGCTGATGTATACATTTGTAAAATAACTATATGTATATTTATATAAAATTAAATTTAAGTTTGAAAATATGAAAGTTTACAAAAGCATTTTTTTCTTCCAGCAAATGTCCCATCGGGGCAGGAAACATGTAGTTATTCTTTGCGTGTCCCACTAACTGGTGACTGCGTTGCTCTCTACAGATTGGAAAATTGCACAGTGAATTGGATATGGTAAAAATGAATGTGCGAGTGATGTCTGCCATATTGATGGAGAATACTCCTGGGTCTGAAAACCATGAAGACATAGAGCTTCTGCAGGTGTTGTACGCTTTCGGGGACAATCAGTCAAAGTGTCTCTTAAAGTTATTCTCTAAACTTTGAGCTTTGGAGATAGAAGCCACCTTAATATTGTCTAGTACATCCTCCTATATCCTGATTTCAACTGATTTCTAAACTTAACAGAAAGATCCAAGAATGGCCTTATCAGAGATGTAATAGTAACTTAGACATGGTCTTTAACCTCTTGTAACAAATAATTTATTATAAATTATAACCTTGGTCATGTACAATCCAGTCTCTAGTCCTTTTCAGTATGTAAAAGTTGCCTCTATTTTCATCCATTCAACAAACATTGAGTAACTGTGATATAGGAAGGGATATAGAAATGAGAAGGAGGCTGTTCTAGTCCTTAAGAATTTATACCTAATGAGCAAGATTGGTTTGTAAACAACAAACATAATGAAGTATTATAGATGCTGTAATATAAATTTGTTTGGGATTATGGGTGGGGAGAAAGAGAGATGTAAGATTTTAGGAAAGGTTTGGATTAGGCAATACTCAGGCCATAGAGGAACAAGTAGACAGGGCATTTGGACCTGCATGAGTAGTTCTACAGCCCTCCTATGCCTTCTGCTAATGTCTGTGTATACATACTTTATTTTTCCCTCTACTGATTTGTTCTTCTAATTATTTTAAATTTTAAAACTTATTAATTTTAAAAAACAGTTAGAAAATCAGTTCCTACTTTCTAAGTCCCTTTTTTGGCAAGTCTTAAAGCTTAAGATATTTTTAAATTTAAAGAAATTTCCTTTAACTTCTTAGATTGTTAGTAAATAACATTTTTCCTGCTCATTTCTTATTTGGGAAGCAAAAACAGTTATAACATTTTTCCCAACAATGTTGCTTATATATCACTGCTATGGTGAATAGCTTGATTTTTCCTTTCTGATGTACATCCATGTTGGTAAACTTCAGTGCAAACTTTGAGTGCTTTCATATCCAAAAATGTCCTTTGATTGCCATGTTAAATGCAAGTTAGTTTAGCTAGATACAAAATTCTAGGCACAAAATTGTTTTTCTTCAGGCCCTTGAAGATACTGCTTCATTGTTCTCTTATACACACTAATGCTGATAGAAGTATTATATTATTCTGAATGTATTATAATAATACTGAATGCACTGAGCACCTAGAAATAATACCCTATGGCTCTGTTTAAATCCTTTCCACCATTCTTTCTATTCTCTTCTTACGGACTTTTTAAAGGTGATGAAACTTCCAGTTGGACTCATCTCTCTCTTAACATTTCTTTTGTACTTTTCATCTCTTCATTCTAAGTTCTGGAATAATTTCTCTGTTTAATGTATATCTCTAAATCTTGTACATCGGGTTGCTTATTCACTCCTTCTAATGTTTCAACAATTTCTTTTTATTTAAAAATATATACTTTAAAAAATATTTGCTATATACAAATATGTATATAATTTTAAAATATGTTGGGTTTTTTTTTTTTTTTTGAGACAAAGTCTTGCTCTGTCACCAGGCTGAAGTGCAGTGGTGTGATCCTGGGTCCCTGCGACTTTCATTTTCCAGTTTCAAGCAATTCTGCCTCAGCCTCCCAAGTAGCTGGGACTAGTTCTTTCATTACATGGTTCTACTTTTCTTTTATATCTTTCCAAGGATAACTATATTTAACACTGCTTTTTTGTTTGTTCTGTGGCCTCTCCTTTGCAAATTTTTTTGTTCATCTTTTTAATTTGCATTTCTCCAGTGTTAGCTGAATTGCTGACAGTGAGCTCATTTTTGTGTGAGACTCTCTGTCAGCTGGTCTGCATTCTCTGCTGACTCAGGTCACTCATGCTGAAGGCAGGATGTAATTGCTACAGCTGTGCTCAATAATGTTTTCAGAGTATGGTATATCAACATGGTATGATGCTGTTTGGGATACATTTATGGCTGGTCTTCTGGATTATGTATTCTCTATCTTTTTCACTGAATGCTACCAGCACCTAGAAATAATACCCTATCTCTCTGTTCCAATCATTGTTTCCACATGGAAACATTACTCCTCTCTCAGCTATCCAGTCTCAGATGAGGAAAGGGGCATGAGCAGGGGTTGTTTTGCCTGGTTATTTTACTTATGTACCTCAACCAATCTATCTGTTAGAGCCTCTTGTGCCAGCATGTTCTTGGTTTCTGGCTTTTAGGCATGGAGCACCCTTCATATTCCTTCCATGTTTTAGGCAGTACTCATTATGGGCAGCCTTGAATGACCTGAATTGCAATTTCTTCTAATTTAAGAGTTACTGAACTGTGGCCTTTGGGCCAAATCTGGGCCTTGCTCTCTTTTGTGCTGTCTCCAGGTTCAGAAGCATTTTTTAAAGGATTGTTTGAAAAATAATAAAGACAGGCTGGGCCTAGTGGCTCATGCCTATAATCCCAGCACTTTGGGAGACTGAGGCAGGTAGATCACCTGAGGTCAAGAGTTTAAGACCAGCCTGGCCAACATGGTGAAACCACACTTCTACTAAAAATACAAAAATTAGCCAGGCGTGGTGGCACATGCCTGTAATCCCAGCTACTTGGGAGACCGAGGCAGGAGAATCGCTTGAACCCAGGAGGCGGAGGTTGCGGTGAGCCAAGATCACGCCATTGCACACCAGCCTGGGCAGCAGAGCAAGATTCCATCTCAAAAATAAATAAATAAAATAGTAATAATAATAAAAACAAAAAAAACAGAGGTCATTTCTCCTATATCCATTTCTCCTATACCCAGAAACCACTGGGGACTCAGATTCCTCTTAAGGAACTCATTGCCATGCCCCACAGCACTATTAATGAATGTGAGTTTGTGGTATCTCTCAGGTGTGTAAGGGATGAAAAGAGGATTTAAACCACAATGTGGGAGTATAAAGTTCCAGATAAGGTAAGAGCTGATCTGTACAGGTAATGGAGGATGATTATGCCACGCCAAAGAATGGGCATGACCAGGCTGGCAGAAGGGAGCTGTTGAAAGGATATAAGCTGAGGGGCTACATAATGAGGTCAGATTTAAGAAAAATCCTTCTGGTGGCATGTGATGATAAATTCTCAGGAAGCAAGACAAGAATCTAGAAAACAACTTAAGAGAGTATTTCTCATCAGTTGTATCCTATATTCTATGGGTGGAAAGTGGTATCTGTGGTCAAATAAGTTTGCAAAACCAATTGTCTACTGTATTTCTCCTCTTGGAGGTTCATAAAATTCACTGATATATTAAAGGCTTTAAGAGTCTTTGTTTAACCCAACATTTATAAACTTATTTATTTTTTTTGAGACGGAGTTTCACTCTTGTTACCCAGGCTGGAGTGCAATGGTGCGATCTCAGCTCACCGCAACCTCTGCCTCCTGGGTTCAAGCAATTCTCCTGCCTCAGCCTCCTGAGTAGCTGGGATTACAGGCACATGCCACCATGCCCAGCTAATTTTTTTGTATTTTTAGTAGAGGCAGGGTTTCACCATGTTGACCAGGATGGTCTTGATCTGTTGACCTCGTGATCCACCCACCTCAGCTTCCCAAAGTGCTGGGATTACAGGCTTGAGCCACCGCGAAACTTATTTAACCAAAGGATCCCAATTTTCCAAATATCTGCTAATATTCTGCAGAATGGTCAGAGTAGTATTCCTTGAGAAATAAATCAATATTTTGGATCAGTGGCTATCTTAGAATTATAACATTTTGCTAAGGATCCTTGGGGTTCTTGACCTTAGGCAAGTCATTTACTATCACTGGACTTAGTTTATGTATAAAATGAAGAGCTCAGATGACAATAAGCAAGAATAATATTAAACACATCCTCTTTATATTGGATATAAAAAGAAAAATTTATCATTAAATAGATTTTAAATGTAGTAGTCCACAGTGGAGGCTTTTCCAGATATAAACTTTTTTTTATTATTATACTTTAAGTTCTGGGGTACACGTGCAGATTGTGCACAATTGTTACATAGGCATACATATCCCATGGTGGTTTGCTACATCCATCCCCCCGTCACCTACATTAGGTATTTATTTTAATGTTATCCCTCCCCAGTTCCCCACCCCTGCTATCCCTCACCTAACTCCCCAACCCCCCAATATGCCCCAGTGTGTGATATTCCCTTCCCTGTGTCCATGTGTTCTCATTGTTCAACACCCACTTATGAGCGAGAACATGCAGTGTTTGGTTTTCTGTTCTTGTGTTCAGTTTGCTGAGAATGATGGTCCCTGCAGGGACATAAACTCATCCTTTTTATGGCTGCATAGTATTCCATGGTGTGTATGTGCCACATTTTCTTTATCCAGTCTATCATTGATGAGCATTTGGGTTGGTTCCAAATCTTTGCTATTGTAAACAGTGCCACAGTGAACATACATGTCCATGTGTCTTTATAACAGAATGATTTATAATCCTTTGGGTACATATACAGTAATGGGATTGCTGAATCAAATGATATTTCTATTTCTAGATCCTTCAGGAATCGCCACACTGTCTTCCACAATGGTTGAACTACTTTATACTCCCACCAACAGTGTAGAAGCATTCCTGTTTCTTCACATCCTCTCTAGAATCTGTTGTCTCCAGATTGTTTAATGTTCACCATTATAGCTGGCTTGAGATGATATCTCAATGTGGTTTTGATTTGTATTTCTCTAATGACCAGAGATGATGAGCATTTTTTCATATGTTTCTTGGCTGCAAAAATGTCTTCTTTTGAAAAGTGTCTGTTCATATCCTTTGCCCACTTTTAGATGGAGTTGTTTGTTTTTTTCTTGTAAATTTGTTTTAGTTCTTTGTAGATTCTGGATATTAGTGCTTTGTCATATGGGTATCTTGCAAAAATTTTTTCCCATTCTGTTAATTGCTGGTTCACTCTAATGATTGTTTCTTTTGCTGTGCAGAAGCTCTTAAGTTTAATTAGATCCCATTTGTCTATTTTGGCTTTTGTTGCCATTGCTTTGGTGTTTTAGTCATGAAGTCCTTGCCTATGCCTATGTCCTGAATGGTATTGCCAAGGTTTTC